CCGCGGGCTCGCCCGTGAGGTTTGTGCACGATCTTGCCGACGATGCGCCGCGTGCCGTTGCCCGCGGCCCAGATCAGCACGCCGTACGCGATGCGGTCGCCGTTCTGCAGCACCACTTCCGTGTTCGTCACTTCGCTCACGCGCGCGCCAAACAGAACCTGCACGCGCCCCGCAAAATTGTCCAGCGCCATCGATTGCAGCGACGCCTCGAACTGCGTCAGCAGCGATTTGCCGGACTGCAGCAGCGTCACCTGGATCTGGGAGACCAGCTCATTGCCGTAGCGCGGGGCCAGGTCTGCACCCACAAAGTCGGACAGCTCGCCGGCAAACTCGCAGCCTTGCGACGGGGGTTGGCAGGCATGCAGTAAGGTGAGTGCAGAACGGTGGATTTCAGTATGCTGATGTGTCGCGTGGGGCAGTTCGTGGATGAAAGGGAGAGCGGGGCGCGTGTGGCCGTACCTGTCGGTCCTCCACCGCACACAACAAAGTGAAGCATGTCCTTGCGCTCCTCTGCGGTCCACATCGGCAGCGCGGCCTTCTCCAGCGCACCTAATGCATGTAGAAAGACGCAGCGTTAGCATAAGAAACGGAAGAGTGTGAATGTGAGCCTCAGGCGGCTTCCCGTGTAAAAAGGCGGGCGGGGAAGCAAAAAAAAAGATGAATTCAATGACAACTTACCGAGAATAGCGACACGCAGGCGGCGAGCATCCGCAATCTCCTTTAAGAAGAAGGCGTGCTCCCTCGCGCCCGAGACGTTGAAAGTGGTAGTAGTCTCCCCGACAGCGACGACGAGGACATCATACGGGACCTGAAATGGGGTGGTCCTACTTGCCGGGACGCCATCCCTCTGCCCCTCAATGCAGGTGACGGTCTTCTCCTGAAAGTCGACGTCTGTGGCAAAGGCCTCAAAATATTCGACGTAGGGGTTGCTGGCGCGGATAGGCTCGACGATGGAGCGGAACTCGATGGTGCCGACGGCTGTGGCGGAGAGGAGGGGGGTGAAGAAGAAGAAGTTGCGCGGGGAGATGACGGTGACGGAGTCGACGAGCTTGAGGTCGATGATCTTGACGAGCGAGTGGGCGGCCCAGCCGGAGCCTAGGACCACGACGCGGGCGCCGGTGCCTACCGGACGGCGACGCGTGAAGAGGCGGGTGTAGTGGATGCGGGCGTCCAGGAAGGTGTCGGAGATACGCTCGAGGACGACGGCGGCGTTGGAGGGGGTGCTGGCGGACGCACGGAGGCGCGGGAGGCGCGGGCGGCGCGGCGGCGCGGCGCGCGGTAGAGGCGGGCGGGCGCGCGGACAGGGGGTGAGGGCCGGGCGAAGGTGGGGAGAGGCGGAGGGGAGGGGGAGGGCGGGGATGAAGGCGGTGGACATAGCGTGGCGCGGGTGGGGTTTCCGGAGGGTGATTAGGTGGGTGGGGGAGATGGGGAACGAGGTCGAGGAATGTGCGGAGGTTAGTGGTGATATCTTAGTGGTGATATCTTATACCGTATGTTACTGTACGGTGGGGTACATACTGTACAGTTCCAAGGGTAATTTACAGTGTGTAGTGCGAAGGGGCATGTCCAGGGCGGGATCTTTTGCGACGTGTCAAAGCAAGAACGGGGGATCTCACACGTGCTAAAAAAAGATGCAAATTTCGGCCGCTAACCGGGACGAGGCCGTGTCGCGGTCCGAGTCCGTTTGGCCCGTTACGTTCTAAAAAACGGCTGCTTGTGAACATTTCACATCAAGGTGCAAACCCTCAAATGCTCTCCCCTCCTATCTTACTTGTAACATGTAACTTCCCCAACAACAGCTCGGCTACTCACGTCCCCCCCCCCCGCTACTGTTCTTCAGGACCGTTGAGGCGTTGCGAACGCTCATTCTTAAGCACACTCCGCATATGAAGAGGCAACAGCAAGAAAGAACAGATTACTGAAGCGTAACACTTCCTACAGACCTTCGATTGGCGATTACGTTGTCACTATTGTCTGATTCTGAAGG